TCAAAACAGCTCTATTTAATTTAAACTAAGACTAATCGTGCGACTAAATACAGCGACAAATCGTCGGTTTGTTGGTAGAATTTCAATTATGACAGCGACCATATTAATATACTACCTAAGTATGTTTAAAAAATAAAAATATTTGCACGCAATTAGAGTAATAACATAAGAAAATCAAAGAACTTTCGGAAATTACTCTTGTCCAATCCGAAAACGAATCCGGAGATCGGAAATGGTCACCATATCTCTTGATTCAACCATTATAATTTTTGAAAATTAATAATTTTCTTATGTAATCTCTAAAGACTTGCATTATACAATAATTAAATTAGATAAGTAACATTTATTTATTTATTAAAAATCGTCATATCATCTGTATATTCAAATTTATATCATTTTTTTTATAATATATACAAATACAATCACGTTGCTTCGTTTCAAAAAAACATTGTTTCGTTCCTTCCTTACTTATATTTTAATATAGCACACGATCAAATTACTATACAGAGTTCCCACTTACAAAATAAAAGTAATATAAAAAACAACAAAAAATACAAAAAAAAACTACCAAGAAACAAAAAAATCTCGCCACAATTGGCAACATTTTAGCAATTTGACAGTTAAAGCTTCAGTGTTGCCATTGTAATAAATTTAAATTCCTACTAAGCTGCCGGAGGCATAAGAAAACGTAATATATATAAACATAATTACACACTTTCCTTGATTTTCAATTCTTTTCCTATGTAATAAAGTCCATATTACAGTATTTTGTCTACCACTGGGTACATTTTAAAGAGCCCTTTTTCATCGGCGAAAAAAGTTATAACTAGACACCCGGAACACCGGAGGAGTCACAAGTGTGTTGCTGGCCTAACCTTATGGCTAGTATTGAATCTGTTAGTGTTAATTTCAATACAAGATTATAGCAGCACAGACCTTCTATACAAATACAAGGATGTAAATTCAATAAAAAGAATTTAATTTAAATAAAGCAAACTTGATTTCCTACCAAAGTCCCAAATACATAGTAGAATTTTGTTTAAGACGAATTTTGATGAAGAAAAAACATAAATCTATATATCGAGGGGTAACTGACTATTTGGTTTAAGCGACATTTTGGTCGATATTGAGTTATATATATATTCGGAATCAGCGAATTTTTCTCCGTCGAATATATATATACAAATGAAACCCGTTTCCCGTTGTCACGCCATAACTTGAGAACGGCTGGACCGATATGGCCGACTTTTTTTGTTGTGTTTGTTATATTCAGGCGAAGGTTCTTACGACAGAAATCGGAAAGGGAGAATACGGGATTGCGCGTACGAAGTCGCAGGCAGAAGCTAGTGTATAATGAAAAAGGGAAAAACCTCGTCCTTCCTTTTGAGTGAATTTATTTCACTTGTTTCACTTGTTTCTTGTGCCTTTATCTTATAAGATGGATAAAGTACTAGACATAGTTTGTGTTGTGTTTATAGATTGTGTTTATACATCTGATGCTACGAGAAAACCTATTGTCATATATTCGTTATAAAATGTTTAATTATAAAGATAATTCTGAAGTAAACATATGAATGACATTTTTGCCCGAATCAAGAATTAACCTTTTTGTTTGATTAGACTCTGGGAGATTATAAACTTCTTGTTTATTCGTTAAAAATACACAAGTTTAGAATTGAAAAAAATCTATCAAGGTTGATATAACATCACGCCTTTTATCCCCGAAGGGGTAGGCAGAGGTGCACATTACGGCACGTAATGCCACTGTACAATGTAACACTTACTTTTCACTATTTATGTTATGAGTCCCATGTAATAGTGGTGAGACATTTGGCATATACCGGGCACAATATCAGACTCAGTGCTATTACTGTGATTTTAAGGTTCTATCAAGATTTACTGGGTTCGTTACTATGATCTATTTATTGTGATAATCTTGTGTCTGTAGTTATGAAGTTCAACTCAAGATTGGGGCGAAAAATAATAAGAAAAACACTGGTTCTTAAATTCTTGAATGTGTAGTACAATACACAAAAAAATGTTCAAATCTCTCTCTGCTCGTTAAAAGAAATGACCCATAATGAATACGAGGATTCAATTCCCGAGTCGAGTAATGTATTACTGGGTAAAAAAATCCCGGTATATGGCAATAGGTTCACCCAATTGGTTTCAATCGAAGGTTTCAATAGTGAAAAGTGGGTGTTACATTGTACAGTGGCATTCAGTTCTGTAATGTGCACCTCTGTCTACCCCTACGGGGATAGGCATCGTGATATTATGTTATGTAATTGAATGAAATTCTTGTCTAAAATTTAGATATTATCAATTCAGTGCCTTTAACCAAACGCCACTTTAGCGCTTGTCTACAGAGAGAGTAGAAAACTAAATGTATGGAGATGACACTGACAAGTGTCAAAATTTACGTCAATTCCATATAATTTGGTTTTCTATTCTACATGTAGACAAGCGCTAAATGGCATTTGGCTACAGCTGCAGATTAGTTATAAACCTTTTAAACGCTACCTGAGGTATAGATGAAAAACAAAAAGTACTTAAAAAACAGTGGCGTGCAGTCCATATAGGCGAATAGGCTTTGCCTGACTTATAAATATCGTGAATATATAACATACATAAAATGTACAAACGCGTTTATTAAGATTCAATAATATAATAAAAGTTTGTAAAAAAACGGGCTAACATAAATATACATTCACATATACTATACACGGACCGCACGCCTTTGTAAAACAATGAATGCGCCCCGTACGCACCACGCATGCGCAGCTATTCCTTAAATCTTGGTTGCCAGTTGTGACGTCACAAAAATAATGTACTAAAAGTATGCACCGCGCATGCGTGAAGATCACGACCATAGTCACGTGACAGAATAACCATTCATAATTATATTACACGATTCCTGTTGATTGACAAAATTTTGGCAACTAAAAAATTAGAGGATCGTTCGTTCATTACTTGGAAATCGATCGTATTTTATTAAGAATTCTAAAACAATAAAACAGCAACAAGTTATTGTATTTTTAAAAACAATTAAATCATAAAAGGTTTTAAATTGATACAATCTGTATATCGTAAAGTACTGATGAATGGGTACACCAGCGCCATCTGTTGAATTTTTTGTTGAAACTTCTGAACTCGTTCGATATAATGCGAATGTATTTTTATAAAATGCGTATTTAACAAATATGTTTCAAGTGTTTTATTTAAAGGTTAACCTTTTTACGCGTTATCGGTTTATAGAAATTTTAAATGAGGAGTTGACTTTATCATTATAAAAGTTAAAAGGAAGTTATTGAAACGTCAAGATGGCGCCATTTACAACGTTTCAAATTATATGAATGAATGTTTTTTTAGTATGAAATATTGGTTTAAGACGATGATGCAATTTCATTTGACTTACTAAATTAACCTTTGTTTTTTTTTTAAATTAAACGCTGCATTACCTTAATTTTTAAGCTACATTTTTTTTATAATAAACACTCGATTGACTATTGGTAATGACTTCAATTCATTTCCAATGTTTTCGGCCATATTGTTTTCATGTGATGTGCGATCGCTTTGTTTATGTTTTCCTTTAAATTATTAGGAATTAGTTTTAAACATAAAGTTGCGTAAATATGTGTAGTAGTAGTTAAATATATGTGTAGGTTTTTCAAATAGTGTATTTTTTTCTAGTACAACTACCTATATTATTCGATTGTGAAGTTTGTGTGGATAATAGGTAATTTTATGTGTTTGTTGAAAGTAAAAACAGTAAGATTTCGAAAGAAAATGTCCTTTATCGGACTAGATTCCGGTAATGACCATAGGCAGAGGTGTACTCGAGTTACGAGAATTGACTATTGACCCGAGTAAAAGGTAGGTAATGTAAATATGTACTATACAATGGATCTTTTATTTGATTTTCTTGTTTATTGTTTGATAATTCTTAAAAATATCAACTTAGACTTCGGGTTGTACTGATTTACATATTAATTTATTATTAATAACTATGTAATGTAATAAACTAAAAACCGCATGGACTCGGCTCGGCCACAGCCGGCCGCGCTTGTTATTGTTTTGTTTGTTGACATAATGTAGGTACCTACGCTCTTAAATTCGTAATATGTATATTATGATTTTGAACAGATTGGTTAAACTTACCAATTCCATAATGAAATTTGGTTCATCAAATTTATGCTTCATTATTAAAATAAATAATAGATCCTTCATTATTTGTAAGTTTTGTTGGCTTATTCAATAGCTGATGAAGTACTTCACAAAAAATACGCGAGATGTCAGTGTATGTAATTTGGCGAAAGAATATACCACAATATTCTTGAACGCACTTTTCGAAATGTAATTTGTACATGTACCTGTCTTGTGTGTGCATGATTGTATGACCGGCGGGGGGGGGGGGGGGGTTTAATCATACGATATTTAGTTGCCTACCCTGTCTCGAAAACCTGTGCACGCCACTGTTAAAAAATGACGATTCTTTTATCGGATATGGCCGACAGTGGCTCAGTTTTTGTTTGTGGCTTATAGCCGACTGTGGCGTTAAAAAGGACCAATAGACCAGATGACGATTTAAATACAATTAGCTGATTCATTTAATTTTTGTTTAAAGTAGATAAGTGAAAATAATAATTCAGAAAAGTTTGACTGCACGGTTGGTGCGGTGGCTGGGCAACCGGCTGCCATGCAACGTGTCGCGGGTTCGATTCGCGCACGGAACAACACTTTGGGTGATCCACAAATTGTTGTTTCGGGTCTGGGTGTCACGTGTATGTTAACTTGTATGTTTGTAAACGCACCCACGACACAGGAGAAAATCCTAGTGTGGGGCAATGTTTAAAAAATCTAGATTTTTATCTCATTACGTTATGCTTAGACAATGGGTAGATGACTAATTTTTATTATAATGTCCGTCTGGTAGATTATTTAAAAACATTAGACACGTATTTTTTATTTTCTTAGGTACTGCAACGATTAGTTTCGAAGATGTATTGATTTGAAATATCGCGTGACGTCACTTTTGAGTATAATTTATACTCTAAAATGACGTAGCTACCTCCCACTCCTAAACTTTGATTCATTTTATCTAAGTATTGTTTTCTTATACGACAAAATAAAAAATACGTGTCTAATATTTTTCCATTACCTAACTGACGACGGACTAATCAGATTTGGCGGAATAAAAATCTAGACATTTTATACTATAGTACGGATTTCAGTTAAATAACATATAATTCTATTATTGACATATATATGGGACTTCAGTAAAAAAACAAAAAATGAACTGAAAAATATTTAAACTCTTTGCAGTGGGAGCCCCGTCTCGCCTCAGCGGTAGGCGGCGTATCACCGCGCTAGAATCGCTAGGGGTATCAGCAGAACTACTAACGCTGGGTACAGTTTCACTGCTAGACTGTTGTACTTGCTACTCTGCTCACACGTACCTGAAAACAGGATAATGATAATGAATTAAAAATGAAACAAAATGGGTTCTTCGTCAAAATAAAAAGAAAAAAAATTAGGCCTGAGATGATAGGTAAGTATTTTTTAAAGTGAAATATATTATTTTTAATACAATGCCCATCATTCTGATTCCGATGACTTATGCAAAAATCGTATTCAATTATTTGAAGTCAAAATCTATCTATACAGATAAATAAAATTGAAGTGTCTGTTTGTAATATTAAAATAACCGACTACTACATGCATAATGAATATACATACGATACACATATCAAATAATTACAATTTTGTCTGTATCTCTGAAATGGCTAGACCGATTTCGATGGGACTTGTATTGACAGATAGCTGATTTATTTTAAAACATTAAAACATAAAAACGTTATGTTCTAAAATTCATATTCTACGCGGACAAAATCGTGGGCAACAGCTATTATAATATATTATTATCCAATAAACCATACTAGAAGTTTAAGGCATTTTTAAAACACCTTTTAGACAAGTTCATCTTCTTTTTATACCACAACGGTGGCAAAAATTCACACGTCCCACCTGATGGTAAGCGGTTACCGTGGCCTATGTACGCCTGCCACACTTGGGGCATTACATGCGTCTTGCCGACCCTTAAGAAACCTATCTAGATAACGGGTTACATATTAACAGATTGTCCTACGGTATGGCAAAAAATCATAATCATAAGTGTATCTATTTTATTTGCTCTATTAAATAGTTGCTTGCTCCTTGCTCCCACCATTAACTCTTCTCTGCATCACCCAAAGGTCAGACTGGGAGAAAATGCCTGCAGCATTAAGTGCACCTTATGTACATTTTGTGCATGAAGCTTTAAATAAATAAATAAATAATCTGTATAACTGAACTACTTATTACTTTAATCAATAGTCGCACTATTAACGCAAAAGACCTTGAATTTATTTAAAAATATATAACAGAAGGAACTTACCATTGAGCGTAAGATTGTACGCCTTGTCCCCCGCGAGGCCGGGCAGCACGGCGCGGTCACACGACCGGGACACTCCCGACAGGGATAGGTACTGGACCGCTGTACCGGACGAGTCTGTAATTTATATATAAAGAAATTAGATTGACTAGACCGCCTCGTTGGCCGAGTGGTCGCAAAGTGCGACTGCCGGGCAAGGGAACTCAGATTCGATCCCCGGGTCGGGCAAAGTATTACTGGGTTTGTAAAAACCTCAGTAGTAGCACGGAGTCTGGAAATGTGCCCGGTATATAGCAATAGGCTCACCCCCTATTACATGGGACTCATAACATAAATAGTGAAAAGTGGGTTTTACATTGTACAGTGGCATCAAGTGCCGTAATTTGCACCTCTGCCTACTCCTTCAGGGATAAAAGGCGTGATGTTATGTTAAATTAGCTCAATCAAACATTGGATAATCTTATAATAATAAAATAAATAATAAATTAATTAATATATCCCTTGGTCACACCATCACGCCTGAACGGTTGGCCCGATATCATTTATTTTTTTGTTGTGTTAGTCATTGTCAGGAGTAGGTTATTATGACAGCAAAAAAGTTCTGAAAATTCTAAAGGAACGGGATAAAACGGGATTGAGTACTAGATAAAAATCTTCACTACCATGTACTTAGCTAGAATATTGGAAAATAATGACTTGTTTTTTCACAAATATCCCCCCAAAAAAAAAGTCAGGTGGCCCGAAGGTTTAAGATGCCTGCTTCTCATGCAAGAAAGTGCGGGGTCCAAACCTACCAACGGGGGTGTGTGCCACCTACCAACGTGTGGGGCAATGCTTATTTAAAAAAATACATTATCAGCCTATTAGCCCACTGCTGAGCAAATGCCTGTTCTCATACGAAGAAGGTTTGAGCATTAACCGCCACGCTTGCTCAATGCGGGTTGGCGATTACAAACTGTTGGAGCTGATGCTCTTGTCTTGATTACTGATAATCTTGATAAATGAAACTTGTTGAATTATAGAAATTTATTAAAACAATACTTGATATTAAAATGACTTGTGTGCACACTTGTACGGTCAATCGCGAACTGGTCTAATAAGTAAAGCGTTGAATGCGCAAAGAGTAAAATTGCAATTATACAAATTCATGTACTTTGTACATATTTCCCGGGCGGGAGATGATGATGCTGTGGCGCACAAATCAAATTAATAAAATATGTTCACATGTCAAATGATTAAAACTAATGAACATCATGATAAAAAACAGAAATAAAATAAAAAATACAAAATCTTTATAAAAACATGTTTCACTAAAATCAATCCATCTCTATCCTCTCAGTCTGAGGTCTTGTCCCTGGCATTGTTGAACGCCGTGTGCTCGGCAGCGGTGGTGTAGTCGATGTTTCGGCTCTTGCAGCCGCTAGCGGTACTTGCCATCGACAGCGTACTCGACGAAGTGCATATATTACTCCTGAGATAGCAACTATGGCAAATATCACATATATCATAACGTAGTGATGTATGTCATGATATGATATCTCCTCCGGTGCTGTCGGTGTCTGGTCTTCTTCTTGCATGAGCAACTGAATCCTGTCTCCAAATTGCTCTGTATCTTGATACAATTTTGTTTGGGAATTATTATTCTGGTTTCCCGCAGACCATTGCGGTAGGGTAATCTTAATGATGTCATTGATTGGCGCGATAGTCGGTGCTGGCAGATCAGGCAAAATCTTGATTTCGCTTGAGTGAATCTTGGACGGGTAAATCGTGATCTCGTTTGTCTTTAATAAACAACCTTGTCCAATGCTGATAAGTCCAGAACCTGTTAGTTGATAGGTTTTCATCTCTTCCGTGCAAATCGTGCGAACGGTGCAAGTGTCGCAACAAAAATATACGTATGTATTGATTGCATAACTTTCTAATGCAAAGTCATTAAGAACCATATTTCTTTGTACGTTTTCTTTCAACATATTAACGGCCTTTTCTAATGCAACTATATGTTGATTTAATATTTTATGTTGTTGATTCATAGCGACTTCGGCCCTTTTCAGTAAATTATTTTCGGCTTCAATTAATGAAGTTTGGTTTTTCCATAAACTTGTTATATGTTTTTGGTTAGCTTGTATCATCCCGATATCTCTTTTGTATTGCTGTGCAAATCTTTCATCTAATACACCGAATAAATCTCCTGCTATGTTTCCAATAACGTTGATAAGACCTCGACGGACGCGCTGTCTGAGTCCGCGCTCGCGAAACTGATTAGTCAGGAACAGCTGATTATAATGTTCAAGTTCATTGAGCTCGTGACGTAATTGGAGTAGCACCGAGTTGCACTGTTCGTGTATGTGCGAGCAAATTTGTTCTAATGATTTGGTGTAAGCTATTACGGCCTCTGTGCCTTGCCAATAGGGTTTCATTTCGTAAAACACGACAATCTTCCATTCGTCTTTGATTAAGTTCATGTTGGATAGTTTATCGTAATATGTACAAAGTACATGAATTTGTATAATTGCAATTTTACTCTTTGCGCATTCAACGCTTTACTTATTAGACCAGTTCGCGATTGACCGTACAAGTGTGCACACAAGTCATTTTAATATCAAGTATTGTTTTAATAAATTTCTATAATTCAACAAGTTTCATTTATCAAGATTATCAGTAATCAAGACAAGAGCATCAGCTCCAACATTGGTCCTTCGAGCCGGATCTGCACGATTGAGTGTTTTGTGTGTTTACACGCAGTAGCGAATCGGTCCTCCGGTCTCCCACAAGCGGGTCGCCCCGGTTGGATTGAGAAGGCGCAACTACACTGCGTGTGATCCACGTGGCATCACGTGCAGGTCAAATCACTAGCAAGAAGAAAACCAGCTGCAAGGTATCATCAAGTCATCAAGCCCATACGTACATCATCAAGTCTATCAAGCAAGTACGTGTCATATCAAGTTTATCAAGAATACGGTCATCATTGCATCGTAGAACTCAATTATACAATAAACAACAAAAAAGGTTACAAGAAAAAGTTATCAAGAATATATTTCATCAAGAGTAGCGCTACACAATTATTCAAGAAATTAAATAAGGTACCTATTATATCAAGTTAATCATGGAAACCCTGAATAGACAAGCCACTATCCAGGAGGAAATTGAAAAACAATTTACAAATTTTAAGAAGGATGGAAAAGAACGCAAGACGATTGAATATATGGAAAAACGAATCGACGCTTTGGACAATTACTGGGCAGAATTTAGAAAAAATCACGATGTTCTCCTAAATGTTCTGAGTCCAGAACATGACTATTTAACCTCTAATAGTTTTGAACAAACCCGTGAGTTTTATTACAAGACAAGAACACTATATCAAGCTACTTTATCGGATATCAAAAAATCGTTTGCGTCAACACTGCAGGGTGAGATAGGCATGCAATCAAGTGCTACCGGACAAGCATGGCATGAACAAGGTGCAGAAAATACAGGATCAGCAGGTGGGTCCCAGTCTACAAGGTCTCACAATACCAACTCATCTCAAGGTGACACTACTAAAATAGATGAGATGCTTAAAAAGCAATCAAGTAATTTTAGAGCATTTTTAAGAACTCTAGAGAGCATTCAGGTAGCAGAACTTCATGAAAAATGGGAGTTCGAAGATGCTTTGACTTCTATCAAGGCTCGTTGGAAGGTCGTAGACACCTTACACTGGGAGTTAGATAGTCAACTAATGAGTTCAAACAGTGAGTACGAGCAAACGTTTACGCATTATGAACGTAAATATACCGACATCAAGAAGGCCATTAATAACAAGTTATGGTCGGTGGCTTACAGAGAAAAGTCAACACCCCAGTTAGACATTCCCGTATTCAGTGGTAATTACCAGCAGTGGGTGTCTTTCAAGGATCTTTTCTGTGAGGCGATACACAACAACCCTTCTCTCTCACACGCACAAAAAATGCAATTTCTCAAAGGAAAGCTGCGTGGGGAGCCCGAACGTCTTATTCAACACCTGCAGATAAGTTCGGAAAACTATCTGGCAAGTTGGGAGATTTTAAAACATCGGTACAGCAACAAGAAGCTGATTTTCACCGCACACATGAACACTATCATGAATCTTCCAATCATGAACCAGCCGTTATCAAACCAAATCAAGCGCCTTCACGACGTTACTACTGAATGTCTCAATGCTATCAAGAATTTGGGCATTCACACCGAAAATTGGGATCCTATACTCATTCATATACTGTCCCAAAAATTGGATATAGAAACGCACAACGAATATATGGCGTCACTCAAACAACCAAGAGAGCTACCAAAGCTTAGTGAATTTCTAGAGTTTCTAGAAAACAAGTTTACTACTTTAGAATCATCGCGCCGCAAGCAAGATAGCGGCAGCGTCCAAAAATCAAGATCGAGCACTTCTTCGTCATCTCATCGACAAGAACGATCTTATCAATACAGCAATTATTCAAGCAATAAGGCTACTTCGCAATTCATTGAAGGATCGAAATATGCCAAATTGAAGTGCGCTATTTGTAACAGCAACGAACATGGCATATACTTTTGCAAGCATTTCCTAGAATTGTCGCCTATACAGAAAAAACAGACAGTTGCGAAATTACATTTATGTTACAATTGTTTATATAAGCATAATGGAAAACCTTGTACTTCTAACAAGCGATGCCGCAATTGCAACGGGTCTCATAATTCGATATTACACGACGCCTTTGTGACATCCGATACCGCGCCCAACACTGTACAAGGTACGAGCGAGACAAGAACAAGGCAAGCGCACGTGGCTCAGCAACAAGAAACATCTGAAATATTATTAGCAACGGCTGTTATCAACGTTCAAGGATTAGATGGCACTTATCATAACATGCGGGCGCTAGTTGATCAAGGCTCACAAATATCCCTAATAACTGAAAATGCTGCACAGAGACTTGGCCTAACCAGAGAAAAATGCAGCGGTACCATTACAGGAATTGGTGCAAAAACTACCTCGTGTAAAGGGAAAATCAACATTAACTGTTTCTCACTATCAGAAGACTATACATTCAACACAGATATTATTATCGTGAGGAACATAGCATTAAATTTACCACACCATACTTTTACAAGTCCAACATGGGATCACCTACATGACCTTAAACTAGCCGATCCAGAATACAATATTTGTCGCCCTATCGACATACTTTTGGGGGCGGAGATTTATTCAATTATTATTATGGATGGAATACGCAGAGCAAGCTCTGTTAACATGAGCCCAATCGCCCAACAGACCAGGCTCGGATGGATACTGTGCGGCAGGGCACAAACTATGCAATGCAACTTAGTTCTGAACGATATAGAAGGCATCGAGCAATTTTGGCAAATAGAAGACATCGAAATACCGCAGAATATAGGCGAGAATGAATATATAAAAAACTACAAGGAAACTACAACCAGATTGAACAACGGAAAGTATCAAGTCAGAATTCCTCTGAAGCCCAATATTTCTGAAATCGGCGAATCAAAACGTAAAGCCACAGCACAATTTTTCCAAGTTGAAAGAAAATTAATGAGACATCCAGACATCGCTGAACAATATAAGTTATTTCTTAGAGAATACTTAGCGCTCGGTCATATGATATGCGCCGACGGTGCAAGTACTCCACTGGAATATTTTATGCCACATCATTGCGTAATTCGTGAAGATTCTTCGACAACTGCCCTTCGAGTTGTTTTCAACGCATCTCAAATTACGTCAAAAGGAACAAGCCTAAATGATTTCATGTATAAGGGACCCAATTTACAAAGAGATCTTATGGAACTAATTTTGAGATGGCGGCAATACAAGATTGCATTCACAGCGGACATAGAAAAAATGTTTAGACAGATATGGGTACATCCAGACGATCAATGTTTTCAAAAAATAATATGGCGCGACAATCAGTCAGACATACTACACGAGTACCAACTGACCACAGTTACTTACGGCACCAAGGCTGCACCGTTTCTTGCAATGATGACTTTGCGTCAGTTGGCCGAGGATGAAAGGAAATCGTTCCCTGAAGCTGCAAAGGTCGTAGAAAACTGCTTCTATATGGACGACCTGCTACACGGTGCTCACAATATAGAGTCAGCAAAAACTCTCAAGATAAATTTAGTTCAGATGTTGAAAACTGGAGGTTTCAATCTAAGAAAATGGAATTCTAATTACAAAGAATTACTACAAGACAGTATGGACTTTAATAATCAAGAAAACTACATTTTCAAGGAAAAGGAGTCAACAAAAACACTTGGCATTCATTGGAAACCTGAGCAAGATGTTTTCGTGTTTCAGTCAAGATATGAAACATCATCTGATCAAAACACACTGTACACGAAACGTAAACTACTTTCAGATATATCAAGGTTATTTGACCCATTGGGCTGGCTCACTCCTGTCTCCACCACTTTGAAAATTTTATTTCAACGACTATGGGAAACAGATATAAAATGGGATGACAAGATTCCAAAGGAAATCAATTCAGAGTGGATCAAAATAAAACAAGATATGGCAAATATTACAAAAATACAGATTCCACGCTGGCTAGGTATAAAACTTGAATCTAATATAGAATTACATGGTTTTTGCGACGCATCGCAAAAAGCTTTTGCGTGTGTTATATATTGCAAGTTATATGAAGACGGAAAATCAACAATAACTCTGGTCGCCGGAAAATCGAGGATAGTATCAAAGAACAAACACATCTCGCTGCCAAAGCTGGAACTTTGCGGAGCGCATCTATTATCAAAATTGATGCTTAAAATCAAGGAATGTTTAAGAGATCATCGTTTAACTACGTATGGCTGGATAGATTCTACAGCGGTCCTCGGGTGGTTACAAGGAAACCCAGACCGGTGGACAACATTCGTGTCGAACAGAGTTCGTCAATCAACAGAAGTTATACCACCGAAAAATTGGCGGTATATCAAATCAGCTGAAAATCCAGCTGATTGCGCGAGCCGTGGGCTCACGATGACACAGTTGAGCACTCATCCTTTGTGGTGGCATGGACCCTCATGGCTACTTACGTGGCCGAAAGAATCCAAACAACCACCTATATACACAACAAATGAAGAAGAAAGGTCATTGACACAAATAAATTTTGCCAATCATGAAGAAAGCCTAATAGAAAAATTGCTTCAAAAAAATAGCTCTTATATGAAACTTGTTCGCGTATTATCATGGGTACGCCGATTTCTTACAAGTAAACAAGACAGACATCAAGAAAAATATTTAACGTTATCGGAAATACGAGAAGCTACCGGTGTTCTTATCAAGCAAGTACAAGGTAAACAATTCGAAGAAGAACTGTCATGCCTCAAGGATAATAAGAAATTACCATCGAAAAGCAAGCTGTTGAGTCTTACACCCTACCTAGATCAACAAGGGATTCTGCGAGTGGGTGGTAGATTAAAACATGCTCAAATCAGCATGGAAATGAAAAATCCTATTATTATTCCGTATGACAGTCGTTTAACACAATTAATAATCGACCACGCTCACCGACTCACATTTCACGGCGGCACACGTGTTACATTGGCGCTTATCAGGCAAAAATACTGGATCTTATGTGGTAATAGAGCAACAAAAAAGCACATTCGTCAATGTGTTGTTTGTAAGAAACAAAATCCGCAAAAACAAGAACAAATAATGGGAGATTTACCAAGTTCAAGAGTCAATCAATCACGCCCATTCTTACATACTGGAGTCGATTACACAGGACACTTTTATGTCAAGGCCAGCAAGGGACGCGGAATAAAAACCACCAAGGGTTACGTGGCGGTGTTTGTGTGTATGGCGACAAAGGCCGTCCACTTGGAGTTGGTCTCGGACTTGTCAACTTCAGCATTTATTGCTGCGCTTCGCAGGATGGCAGCACGTCGCGGAACACCACGTCACTTGTACAGCGACAATGGAAGAAATTTCGTTGGAGCTAGTAGAGTATTGCAAGAAGAGTACCAACAAGTACAACAAGTTTTCAATGATGGTTTTATGAAAGAGCTCACTGACATGGAAATATCATGGCATTTTAATGCACCTTCCTGGCCTTCCGCGGGCGGATTATTCGAAGCAGCTGTCAAAAGCTTTAAATTTCATTTTAAAAGAGTAATTGGTGAACAAAAGCTCACGTTCGAAGAATTTTCGACCGTCCTTGCCCAGATTGAGGCGTGTATGAATTCAAGGCCCTTATGTGCTCTATCAGAAGACCCGGAGGACCTTGATTATCTTACTCCATCGCATTTTTTGACCGGCGGTCCAACCCTCACCCTGGTTGAAAGTGAAAGAGACATGCGAACCCGCTGGCAGTTAACACAAAAGATAATTCAAGATGTTTGGAAACGTTGGCGCACCGAATACTTAACTCAACTAACTTCAAGAAGTAAGTGGAGACGACCGCATCAAAACATCAAGACGAATGACGTAGTTCTTATACATGATGAGAACCTACCCCCAGGCAAGTGGACAATGGGAAGAGTAGTGCAACTACATCCCGGCCAAGACGGGTTTGTTCGCGTAGTTACGCTAAAAACAAAAAATGGCTACATACGGCGTCCTGTCATCAAGTTATCTATACTTACTGAGTATGAAGAAGTTCCTGATAGTAAACAAAATGATCAAGATAACAAGAAACAACAAATACCATTACCAAAAAGCAAGAAGAGCTTAGCAGCCGTATGTACAGCTATACTATTCTTCCTGACTTTATTAACGACGTCAGAATGCAAAGTCAACACCACTCAATTTAGAGAAAATCAAGGTTTCGATTTAATTCGAACTTATAATTAGAAATTATAAGTCCAGGTTTCCTCACGATGCTTTTCCTTCACCGTTTGTCAGTGATATCTAAATAATCTTAGAAAGTACATATAACTCGGAAAAAGTCACATTGGTACTTGCCGTTGGTAGGTTTCGAACCCGCATCCTCATGCATGAGAAGTGGGCGTCTTAAACCTCCGGGCCAGCACGACATATAAAACCTACATAGTTAATATAGTATATAGTAGTTGTCATGTATTACTAGGATGGCTACGTACCATTGGCGATATAGTTGGTGTAGAGGAAGCAGAGCGCGTGTGGGCGGGCCGAGCCCCGCGCGGCGCCCGCCACCACCAGCCCCAGGCTGCCCTCGCGCCAACTGCCGTAGCACGTGTACACTGCGACAGTGGGGAACATTTAGAACGTGTTATTAAACATATACTGCCTCGTTCGCCGAGTGTGATTGCTGGGCAAGAGGTCTCGAGGTTCGATTTTCGACTCGGGCAAAGTATTACTGGTTTTTTTTAATTCTCAGTCTGGAATTGTGCCTGGTAATTCTCAGTAGAAGCACGGAGTCTGGAATTGTGCCTGGTAATTCTCAGTAGTAGCACGGAGTCTGAAATTGTGCCCGATATATGGCAATAGGCTCACCCCCTATTACATGGGACTCATAACATAAATAGTGAAAAGTGGGTGTTACATTGTACAGTGCACCAGCAATGTGCACCTCTATATATATATTATGTTATGTTGCAAAAAGGATATCATGCATCCTTCCATGTAAGTCGCATAGAAAATGAAGCAAGCCGTGTACCGGTGCTGGTGCAGGCGGACTGGAAGACGATGGTGTCCTGCGCGGCCCCGCAGCCGACGCTGGCGCTGTCGTACTGGCCCATCACGCACTCCACGGGCTTCTCCGCCACCTCCTCGCCGGCAGCGTCGTCTGGGCAAACAGAAATGGTTGTTATAGTATACAGTATGTATTGTTGAGTTAAATAGTTTTAGGTGGTCGTTAATAATTGGTGCTTTTGTAGAATGATTAGTTAATAACTTCATCAGAGGTTGGCCGGGCCAAGAGGTTATGGGAAATGACTACGTATAATATATTTAATTCAAGTTCCTTAACTATTCTGTCTCTTTCAGTATTAGCTTCATTCTTCTTTCAGCTTCATTCAGTATTATTCTAACATAAAAACCATATTGTGACATTTAAGACCCCGGATCGCGAATACTAGGGTTTGCCTTTGTTTTGATTTTCCTAGCCGTCGCAGGATACACTCCGGGCGCTGGAAATCGCGTGACGATCTCCGGCCACCGTAATAAGGTAGTTATTGTAAGTGAGCAAGGGTAGCTCGCCACCCGACCAGAAACAGACCCGAGCGTACGGCGCCGATCGTTCCGCGCGCGCCTCAAAGAGCCATCAGACCACTACGGATGAAGCCCAGTAGGGCTGTCGCCTGATACGGAGCAGCGGAAAGCCGGGTTGCCGGGATCCAGCTCGAAGAGCAGGAGTAAAAACAGGGTGCTTTTTAGTCAGTAACACTCTGACACTCCCTCTCGCCTAATCCAAGGCGGGAGAAGTCATTGAATGATTTCCCCCCCTTAAAAAAGCATCATAAGTTTAATGAAGGTGTGTCTCACCAATAGTAAGCTGTTGCCGCCTCCTCCGTCTGTCGGCGAGTGAGTCCACGACTGTGTAGCGGCCCAGCATTGGACAACGCATCGGATACAGTGAGGTTGCTGGAACGAATAAAGTATATCGGTTAAAAATCATAGAAAATATCATATTTGAGAACAACAATAATATTGGAGTATTTTGTATAATTTTTATGAACTAAAATAAAAATGTAACAAATTGAAACCTAACTTTCTTTGTCTTCTTATGTTTTTGAAAATTATTGCCCCTCAGTAATCATAGAAACGACACTCATGACGACTATGTCGATAATTTTGTATAGCCGCCATCTTGGAATAACGTTTTAATACTACAAAATACGACGATGGTCAACCCAGACCATCCTTTGTAAAATATTTATTTTGTACAATTGTAATGAGGCTAAACGTGTGCCGTCAATGTCGTCATATTGTAGAGCGTTTTGCATTGACAATACGGCTAATCGTGCAGTCGCCGTATCACAAAACGGCCCTGCTTTTCTAAACGGCTAGCTATAATGTAATATACAATTGTCCTGCGACATATACTTACACAGCGTGGCGCCACGCGGACATATTAAGATAGTTTATACTTACACAGCAGCGTGACGTGCGGCGCGTAGTGTCCGTGCGTGCAGGCGTGGTGCGGCGCGTCGTGCAGGGCGGCGCCACGCGGACATATTGAGATAGTTTATACTTACACAGCAGCGTGACGTGCGGCGCGTAGTGTCCGTGCGTGCAGGCGTGGTGCGGCGCGTCGTGCAGGGCGGCGCCACGCGGACATATTGAGATAGTTTATACTTACACAGCAGCGTGACGTGCGGCGCGTAGTGTCCGTGCGTGCAGGCGTGGTGCGGCGCGTCGTGCAGGGCGGCGCCACGCGGACATATTGAGATAGTTTATACTTACACAGCAGCGTGACGTGCGGCGCGTAGTGTCCGTGCGTGCAGGCGTGGTGCGGCGCGTCGTGCAGGGCGGCGCCACGCGGACATATTGAGATAGTTTATACTTACACAGCAGCGTGACGTGCGGCGCGTAGTGTCCGTGCGTGCAGGCGTGGTGCGGCGCGTCGTGCAGGGCGGCGCCACGCGGACATATTGAGATAGTTTATACTTACACAGCAGCGTGACGTGCGGCGCGTAGTGTCCGTGCGTGCAGGCGTGGTGCGGCGCGTCGTGCAGGGCGGCGCCACGCGGACATATTGAGATAGTTTATACTTACACAGCAGCGTGACGTGCGGCGCGTAGTGTCCGTGCGTGCAGGCGTGGTGCGGCGCGTCGTGCAGGGCGGCGCCACGCGGACATATTGAGATAGTTTATACTTACACAGCAGCGTGACGTGCGGCGCGTAGTGTCCGTGCGTGCAGGCGTGGTGCGGCGCGTCGTGCAGGGCGGCGCCACGCGGACATATTGAGATAGTTTATACTTACACAGCAGCGTGACGTGCGGCGCGTAGTGTCCGTGCGTGCAGGCGTGGTGCGGCGCGTCGTGCAGGGCGGCGCCACGCGGACATATTGAGATAGTTTATACTTACACAGCAGCGTGACGTGCGGCGCGTAGTGTCCGTGCGTGCAGGCGTGGTGCGGCGCGTCGTGCAGGGCGGCGCCACGCGGACATATTGAGATAGTTTATACTTACACAGCAGCGTGACGTGCGGCGCGTAGTGTCCGTGCGTGCAGGCGTGGTGCGGCGCGTCGTGCAGGGCGGCGCCACGCGGACATATTGAGATAGTTTATACTTACACAGCAGCGTGACGTGCGGCGCGTAGTGTCCGTGCGTGCAGGCGTGGTGCGGCGCGTCGTGCAGGGCGGCGCCACGCGGACATATTGAGATAGTTTATACTTACACAGCAGCGTGACGTGCGGCGCGTAGTGTCCGTGCGTGCAGGCGTGGTGCGGCGCGTCGTGCAGGGCGGCGCCACGCGGACATATTGAGATAGTTTATACTTACACAGCAGCGTGACGTGCGGCGCGTAGTGTCCGTGCGTGCAGGCGTGGTGCGGCGCGTCGTGCAGGGCGGCGCCACGCGGACATATTGAGATAGTTTATACTTACACAGCAGCGTGACGTGCGGCGCGTAGTGTCCGTGCGTGCAGGCGTGGTGCGGCGCGTCGTGCAGGGCGGCGCCACGCGGACATATTGAGATAGTTTATACTTACACAGCAGCGTGACGTGCGGCGCGTAGTGTCCGTGCGTGCAGGCGTGGTGCGGCGCGTCGTGCAGGGCGGCGCCACGCGGACATATTGAGATAGTTTATACTTACACAGCAGCGTGACGTGCGGCGCGTAGTGTCCGTGCGTGCAGGCGTGGTGCGGCGCGTCGTGCAGGGCGGCGCCACGCGGACATATTGAGATAGTTTATACTTACACAGCAGCGTGACGTGCGGCGCGTAGTGTCCGTGCGTGCAGGCGTGGTGCGGCGCGTCGTGCAGGGCGGCGCCGAGCTGCAGTTCGAGCACGCCGCCGCCGCGCCGCCACGCCGACACACACACGTGCCCCGACTCGCTGCAACACCAAGGGCATAGTTATACTCACTACTATGACACGGTCGTAGTGACTCGGACGATTAAGACGAGCGCTTCCTATGCATGAAAATGCGTTCAAAACCTACTAACGGCAAGTACTAATATGACTTTTTCCGAGTTATATGTACCTACTTCCTAAGATTATTTAGACACTACTGACAAACAATGAAGGTAAACGTTGCGAAGAAACCTGAACTAATCATAGATACCTGAACTAATTAAATTTGAAATTGCCCGCATTGAGCAAGCGAGGTGATTAAAGCTCAAATCTTCTCCGTGTGAGAAGAGGCTTTGCTCAGCAGTGGGCAAAGCTTCTTTGTATGTAGTAGAAATCAGCACCTCAATTTTATAAAGTTATGATTGAGACCAGCATATGCCCCGCCCGCTCTATTTCATCCATCCATATCCATTCGGTCGTCTATCGTCTGCAAGAGTATGGAATGTGTTCTTAACAATAGATCCGTGCATACCTTGAAGGTAACGATCTTCTCAGCGATCGGCAATACGGGTTTCGAAGTAGGTAACCGATTTGCTGGGGACCTTCTTGCGTATGCCACTCACATATGGAGCGAGACCATCGAGGGGCACGAGGAGGCATTGGCAGTCTCTCTCGATATTTCGAAGGCCTTTGACAGGGTATGACACTATAGTCTAATCGGGAAGCTTCGTGCATATGCACTTATGCTGATCTGTGCAGATGGATAGTAGATTTCCTGACGGATCGGTCAATACGAAAAATCGATTGCTGCTCGTCTGACCAATTCGGTATTAATGCCGGCGTCCCTCAGGGGTCAGTACTTTACTCTTTTTGCAGAATATAAACGATCTGGTTAAGCCCGGTATCTTTGGGTATGCAGATGACAGCACAGTTGTTGAAAGGTATGTGTCCGATGCGCGGACTAGCGGAACACAGATCCGGTCTCTAAGAGAATCCATGGTCGACCGTTAGAACTCGTCCTTGAAGACGGTCTCCGACTAGGGTGACGCCAACTTGGTCAAGTTCAACGCTAGCAAAACCCAGCCAAACGAAGTCAATTTCTGCTGACTCCTACTTTTCGGAATGTATCCGTCCCGATGACTGATCATCTTGAGCTTCTTGGCGTAACTCTGACGCCCACGTTGACGACACTCAACTTTGGCTCCTATATAGAGTCAAAAGCGCAACTGGCTGGTAGAAAGTTGGGTGTCCTATGGAGAGTGAGACGGTAGTTCACGCCGAAACAATTACTAAACATGTATCAGGCACAAGTTCGGTCCTTTATGGAGTACTGCTCTCATCTTAGGGACGGCTCGGCTAAATATCAGCTGGACGCGTTAGAGCACATTGAGAGGCGTGCCAAGAGGCTTATCAATGATGATCCGCTTGTTGTGGCCCGGCTTCAAAGCCTCGAACACAGGCGTAAGGTTGCAAGGCTTTCGGTTATATACCGGATTTCGGAGAGTGTGCGAAGGAAATGCACAACTTGATTTCCCCTAATCCTTTCCATCATCGTACGACAAGACAATCTGCGAAACGTCACCAATTCATGGTAGATGTCCCACCCACACGCACGAAGCGCGTCGCATCAAGCTTCCTTGTGCGTACTGCTAAGGAGTGGAACTTTTGCCCGAGTCTGTATTTTCTGAAGGGTATATATACCCTGGGTGTCTTCAAGGCCCGTATGAATAGTTTGATATTATGGGACGACGTGCTCCATCGTAGACCGCATCATCGCTTACTACCAGGCGAGATAGTGGTCAAACGTCGGCACATCAAATATATAAAAAATCCTGATCACAAAGTGGGTGACACAACTTACTGGGACTTTCTCATATCTCAATTTTGATATGAAAACAACGTATGAGTAATGAGTATGTAGGTAAATATAGATAGAATAGTATTTTGAAGAAAGACTTGATTTGATTTGACCCCTAGTATTTTAAGTATTTTAATTTTTCCTTTTATTTTATTCTGTTTAGCTTCTTTTTCCATATTAATATATTATTATTGTCGTGGTGGTCCAGAGGTTTCAAAACGCCCACTTCTCATGCATAAGGGTGCGGGTTCGAAAGCTACTAACAGCAAGTAGGTACCAATGTGACTTTTGCCGAGTTATATGTACTTTATAAGATTATTCAGACAAACAGTGAAGGAGAACGTCGTGACGAAACCTGGGCCTATAATTTCTAATTGTAAGTTTGAAATCGCCAACTCGCATTGTGCAAGCGTGGTGAAACTTTCTCCGTGTGGGAAGAGGCTTTGCTCAGCAGTGGGCATTTATATGCTGTTGATTATTATTTGTTTATGTGTGTTCTGTGCAGAAATGAAAAGATTTTCTTTCTTTTCCTTCTAAAATTGAACAAAAAAAGGTTGAATAACGGTACTGAGATACAAAAGTTTACGCAGATTCATTCTTATTATACAAAAAACCAATATATCTCTGCTTACCATCCTCTAGTGAGATGCGCGACCAGCTTGACGTATTGTTTGTCCTTCTGTTCCAGGATAGAGTGACACACCAGTCGCTTCTCCTCGAACGAACCGTCTTCATTCATAATCTGTGGGACGAAACAAAATACCATGTTAATATTACACACTGTCACAGAATGCGTAAGGAAAATAAAGATTCACAGCTCCTCCCCCGTAGATGATAGCCTGATTATAAGTAGCCTATATGTTGACCCGACCTGTTAGTTATATTCATTTAAAATTTGAAGGAAATCCATGCAGTACTTTTCGAGTTCATCCCGGACATACATACAGACAAACAGACAAAATTATAGAAACCATAATTTTAGCTTCGGTATTGATTGTAGATCACGCCACAAGTATTCTTCTAAAAAAATTTCAATGTATATTTTTGACATTTCTTCGATTTTATTATATGTATAGATCAATGAAATTAATAACTTATAACCACTTTTGAAGCTATATAAATAGAAGTGTATTTAAACGTGAGTAGCCTTGCTTCATTCCTGCTGCTGGTGATGCTTCATGCTGGTGGGTAGGCTCGACCTTACATTACCATGGCCATACAGAAAATGCTTGCATTGTGTATCACAGTGTGAGTGAGGTTACATTCGGCTCAATCAACCCCCCCCCCCTCCGCTCCCCAACCCCTGAATTCCCAAAAATCCTCAAATTCCTAATCCCCAAAAGGACGGTAACGCACTTGTGCCGCCTCTGGTGTTCCAGATATCCATGGGCGACACCGATTGCTTACCATCCGGTGATCCGTCTGCTCGTTTCCCGGCTTTTACAATAAAAAAGGATCAATTCTCGTCCATCATTCTCAATTCTTAAATTCATAACCCCAACCGAAAGCCGACAACTTAATTAGACATTGGAATACTCCATTAGTGTTGGGTGTCCATGGGTGACGCCGATTGCTTACCATCAGGTGATCCATCTGCTCGTTTGTTTAAAAAGTAGTTAGTATGCTCTCTTTTTTTTTAAGTTTGTAGATCATGTGCGTTACGGTAGCACAGTGGTCACGAGCGAGGATCAAAGGACACGCAAGTCTCCCTGGGAATGTGTTGTAACAGGCGTTGCACGGTGGAGGCTCTGGAGCAGGTCTCTTCAGAGGATCGGGTGCCCCTTACAAGTGCTGAGGGTGGCCACCGGGGTGGTTTTAGTGAGATACGAATCCCTGGTCTTTCTCCCCAAAAAGCTAGGAACCTGTCGAAGGTTTCCCCCCGACATCAAAAAAAACAAGGTCATGTTCGTTAGGAAATACCGCAGTCGACAGTCTATTCTAGTGGTTTCTATAATAGCACTATAAGTAGTACAATAATATGACCAGAGGTTATTAGATGTGGACTGCAGGGGATTAATTGTAGCCATCAGACCACTATAGATGGGGCTGATGCCGACACGGAGCCGTGGAGGGCTTAACGGGTTACCGGGGCTCTGGCTCGACGTGCAGGAGTAGGAACGGGGTGGCACGGGGTACGGGGAGTCAGTAAAAGTCTGACACTCCCTCCCGCCTCACTCGGGCAGGAGAAGTCATTTAATAATCCCCCCCCCCCCTCCTTAAAAAAGGGGATTAATTGACAGGTCATAATAGATGAGCCTTGTGTCTAGCAGTAGACCTCTACCTTTACTCCGATGGTGATGTTATTTATTACCTTGAGCGTGGCGTTCTTGGTGGTAAAATGATACTGGTGCGTGTGGTCCAGACTGAACCACTTGTGGTGTTCCACCACCCAGCTGGGGAAGTGACATCGATTGTGTTCGTCGTCGACTGAAAGTTAATATAATAAATTGTTGGTTAATTTCATACTAATTATAGTTCTGCCACCGAAGGTAGGTGCAAATGGAAAGTATAATAATTTTACTAAGTTAATTATAATTAAAATTACATGGTAACTCTTAAAATCTAACTAAGATAAGTGAGAATGCGTTCGAAGTTGGAACAACAATCGCAGCACGGAGTCTGCAATTGTGCCCGGTATATGGCAATAGGCACACCCCCTATTACATGGGACTCATAACGTAAATAGTGAAAAGTGGGTGTTACATTGTACTTGTACAGTGGCATTAATTGCCGTAATGTGCACCTCTGCCAACTCCTTTCGGGGTTAAAGGCGTGACGTTATGATGATGATGATCCGAGTCATTAAGTGTACCCCCCACACAGTCCCCAATATCCCCAATCCCTGAATCAGCCAAAATCCTCAAATTCCTAATCCCCAAAAGGCCAGTAACGCACTTGGTTGTTCCAGGTGTCCACAGGGGCGCCGATTACTTACCATCAGGTGATCCGTCTGCTCGTTTACCGGCTTATCTCATAAAATCAATACATACTGTTAGTAAGTTTCATAGTCCGACTCCCGTCAACAGAAGAGGTGAGTCCATTGCAGGTGGCGTCGCCGGACTGTGCTATAGTGTACGTCACTGTCTTGTCTGCGTGCTGGCCTTTATACACGAAACATCTGGAATGGGAAAGAAATAGAGTGAGTTATTGTGAACTAGATTTTAAGTACATATAGCAGGAATGGTCATTCTTAAAAACCATTAAATGTAAGACTGGTATGTGAACAATGGTCAAAGTCAAAATCATTAATTTCAATTAGACCAGAAAGGCATTTTTGAACGTCAACATAAAATTAAAAGTGAAGCTATTTGCTCATTCCAACGTGTACATTCCTATGGAACGAGCAAGAAACTCCATAGGTTACTCTTTTTCAATCAGGTTCACAATACAATTCTTTACTTTTGTTGGTTCACTTGTGTAAGAAAAATGTAGCACCAAAATCGAGTCAAAGATATTGGAAAAGAAAATAACCTTAAGGACAATAAAATAATACAGTCGGGAATGGATATTCGAAATTTGTCAATTAACTATTATGTTTTCAGCTTACTCACGTAACTGTTTGACGAGGAACTCGACTAGTTTCAAGCCATGCTAGAGGCTCATATTCTCATTGAAATTTGTCGTCACAATTAGTTTCTGTTTTAGGTAAAATTAGGTAATGTAAACATCACTTGGGAGCAAACAAACGGAGCATTTTATAGCAAAAGGAATCTTTTTTCTTTTTGAAGTCGGTTAAATACATTCCAACAGGGAACTTCTGAATCAATTTTAGTCAGTAAAACTCTCTCAACCTGTTCCGATACTGACCGTAAAATTAAGATGAAACAAAAATATATCAGAAAGAACATTGGCTTTTGAACACATTGTATTAAGACTAAGGTCGATCATAACTATAAAAACTATTTTATACCTGTACATATCCTCGTCAGTGGAGATAGAGTTTCTCCTCTGTACTTGTGAGATAAGACCCACCAGGTACCGCGTGGAGCCTTCCTTCCATGTGGCCAAGCAGATCAGCTCCTCAACTGGAAGAATAACACATCATATTAAACGTATTTTCTTTCATTTATTCATAGTATTTGACAGAAAACGCATAGCTATGGCTAGAAGCCAGCTGTTCGATTGGAATTTAATTATATTTCTGTAAATAAATCCGGAGGCCCAATTACCCTCCCCTTCACCAATCTCCTCAATTCCTGAATCCCTAACGATCCTCAAACTCCTAATCCCCAAAAGGCCGGTAACGCACTTGTACCGCCTCTGATGTTCCAGGTGTCCATCGGCGACGCCGGTTGCTTACCATCAGGCGATCCGTCAGCCCGTTTACCGGCTTATGACATAAAAAAATAAAATAAAATAAATAACCGACTTCAATCTTTAGATTTTAGACTGGTTTTCGTAAACTGTTAATTAAAATGATTTCTCTTTTAAGTTTATATTATTTAAAAATAGCAAGGTATTTACTTTTCTTTATTGTAGGGTTGTCGATGTAGAATTTGATATATATGAACTTACAAGAAGTACAAGACTGTTTTATTATTTTATTATTATTAACTTCTGTGATACACATGTCGTGGTGGCCTGGAGGATTAAGACGTCCGCTTCTCATGCATGAGGGTGTGGGTTCGAAACCTACCATCGGCAGGTACCAATGTGATTTTTTTCGAGTTATATGTACTTTCTAAGATTATTCAGACACCACTGACAAACGGCGAAGGATAACATCGTGAGGAAACCTGGGCTTATAATTTCTAATAATTAGTTTGAAATCACCAACCCGCATTGAGCAAGCGTGGTGATTGATGCTCAAACCTTCTCTGTGTGAGAAGAGGCTTTGCTCAGCATTGGGCATTAATAAGCTGTAGATGTATGATGATGTAAGTATGATTGTGTGTGTGTGTGTGTGTGTGTGTGTGTGTGTGTGTGTGTGTGTGTGTGTGTGTGTGTGTATGTGTGTATGTGTGTATGTGTGTGTATGTGTGTGTGTGTGTGTGTGTGTGTGTGTGTGAGACGTACCGTTGCTCTCAGTGCCCGGCACATCAGGACAGGCCATGTACCGCAGTAGCAGACGCGAGTCATCCGTGCACGACTCCGCACGAGACGGTGGGTTCGCGCAGTCACCTGAACCACTGTAAGTTAGAAATGATTATAAATATAGGTTCCACATATTTATTGCAAATACTAGATGGCGCTACAGTGGTTTACTAAAGTCCGAATAGTCCATCATTGGGTACTTTGGTAATTGTAACAAGTAATAGCGCAATGAATAGGTTTAATTTAAATCCTGAATAATGTGCAGTAATCAAACATTATCTGGTGTTAGGTTAAATTTAATTTATTTACAAGATAATTTACCTCATTAACAGCAATAGATAATGCACCATATGCAACGTGGAATGAGTTTCAGTCATAATTTTACAGTTAGTCTTATTAGACTGCCTCGACAATTGAAAGTAAAGTCAGTTTACCATTCGAAATTCTCAGTTATTGCGGACATTCACGGGTCGCAAGTGTGACTGTCAGGCAAGGGGTCTCGGGTTCGATTCCCGGGTCGAATAAGTATTAGTAGGTTTTTAAAAAAAAATCTCAGCAGTAGCACGGGAGTCTGGAATTGTCCGATATATTGTAATAGGCTCACCACCTATTACATGGGACTAATAACATGAATAGTGAAAAGAAGAGCCGTGATATGCATCTACCACCACGATACAGAAGAAAATCCTAGTGTGGGGCAATGTTAAAAGAGAAGAAACATTCCAAACGGGAATGAATGATTGTATGCCCAAAGGGCCCAAGGCCCTTTTTAAAGCGTAATATAGGACGGCATCAGGTCGTCTGTCTAACCCATAACGTTTAACTACTAACCGACTGTAAGTAAATGTGAACGGCGCTGGATGGAAGGGACAGGGCTCCGGGAGCGGCCGGGGTTCCTTTCTGAACATGGAGTATAGGGCTGCGTCCCCAGTGATGGACTCACACATTGTTGATAGAGAGTCTCGCTCTCTGCAGTATGCTGGAATTAAAAAAATTAATGGCATAAGTCATCAGCTGGGTAACCTGTATGCCTGCCTTACACTGAGTGGGTGACCCTTTTAGCATAGGCATGTTGTCAGCGTCTCTTTTCTAATTCTTCTGTTTTAATTTTTCAACTCTTATATTTTTATTACTTCCACTGTCACACCTTGATTGTCTTTTTTATTTTTTATTTATGCTGCATCGTGCCTGGTGCTAAATATTTTTTTTTCCTTTCTTTCTTTCTTTCTATCAGTCAGATTAGTCGAAGATTGTTTTAATTAAAAGAGTAACGATGGAAGTTCTTTATCATTCATTATAATGTTTCATCAGTAGCTCAGTTATAACTGACTGCCTCGTTGACCGAGTGGTCGCAAGTGCGACTGCCGGGTAAGGAGTCTCGAGTTCGATTCCCGGGTCAGGCAAAGTATTACTGGGTTTTTCGATATTCTCGATAGTAGCACGGCGTCTGGAATTATGCTCAGTATATGGCAATAGGCTGACCCCCTATTACATGGGACTCATAACATGAATAGTGAACAGTGGGTGTTACATTGAACAGTGGCATTAAGTGCCGTAACGTGCACCTCTGCCTACCACTTCGGGGATAAAAGGCGTGATGTTATATGTAAGAACGAAAAGTGTTATATACTTACTTTCTTTATACTGTAGTACGTATTTGTGTTTTTCATGTATGACTAAACATCTGTAGCAGTCTTCGTTCCTGGAATCATACAAAAATAATGTCAAAGATAATAATAATGTAATGACAAAAAGTTCTATTAATTTCGAGTCACACCGGGACGCATAACTTTGAAGACAGTGACGTCATACCATGTCCATTAGTCGGTATGAACGTCGTATGACTACATAGTATATAACAAAGTCGTTATCCGCCGTCTGTCTGTCCCTATGCATGCTTAGATCTTTAAAACTAGGCAACGGATCTTGATGCGGTTTTTTTTAATAGATGGAGTGATTCTTAAGGAAGGTTTATATCCTTACTAATATTATAAATCGGAAAGTTAGTTTGTTTGTTTGTTTGTTTGTTCCGCTTTCACGCTGTAACTACTAAACCGATTGCTTTGAATTTTTGCAGACGTAAAGTTAGAAGTCCGGATTAAATAATAGGGTACTTTTTATCTCGGAGAAATTTGATATTCCCGAGGGAAAACAAAAGTTTTGGTATAGATGGCGCTGTGTGTATTGATATATGTCACATAGGCTACTTTTTATCCTTTTGTGACGCGTGTGTATTTATATAAATCGTACGCTCGATTCGATACAATACTGAATACTAAAGTATGGCATTACCTTTTATTATGGGACAAGCCCGCCACAACCTCCCAAAACCGCTGCAACTCCTGTAAGCCAGGATCTACAGTAGATACAACCATGAAAACACCGGAACACTGAAGTCCGGCGCGTCCCAGGGACATGAGTAACTGTCTTGGTTCCCGCAACGAAATGAATCAGAAGATATTATAAGAGGAGAAGAAAAAACTATGGCATTACCTGTCGTAAACCAAGAACTTATCATTGGAGTCTGTTTCAGCGCAGTCCCCCTTGCCCTGCATGGTGGTGGAGTTGATGTAGATGAGTCCTGGTATGCCCGACTGGAACCAGCCTCCCGTCCAGCCTTCTGGGAAGTTGCAGCCGCCGCCTGGAAATAGGAGAAAGTAGATATTAGATACGGTGAATCTACAGGTAATGAAAAGAAAATAAAAAATAGGTTTAAGATGTGATAAAATAGTCCTTCTAAGTACCTTGTACTATTTAAGTGAAACCGTAATTTATTTCTAGGATGATGAGGTGTCTTAGGTTATTATAATAGGATAGTTGCCAGGGTATGAAAATTAAAAATCTAATTATTCCGTCATATAATGAAAAAATATTAGACACGCATTTCTTTACTTTCTCGTATAAAGTAACGATAAAAATGGAGTTAAGTTTAGGAGTGGGAAGTAACACCATAATTTTTTTAATGAAACAAGTTAAAACTTAACATAAAATAGACTAGCTACTTCCGCGCGGTTGCACCCGCTCTTCTCGGCTCCTAATGATCGTAGCGTAATATTTTGTAGCCTATAACCTTCCTCAATAAATGTACTATCAAACACAAAAAGAATTATTGAAATCGGACTGGTAGTTTCAGAGATTAGTGCGTTCAAACAAACAAACTCTTCAGCTTTATAATATTAGTATGATAGTATGATAAGGTACACGCGATCATTCAAAGACCATGATGTGAAATTAACATCTAGAATTATACGAATGTAGTTTTAACTATAAATTGCGGGTTACTTACGTGAATATACTGAGAAAAGCTCTAATAGTTTCTGTATATTTCTGAATATTTTTAGTTAATTTTGTATGACTCACGATAGTTATTATAAATACGAATGTAGTTTTATTAAAATGTGTTCGAAACCGCAGACCAATACAAATATAGAACAATAAGAAACGACCCCATTTTTTAATAAATAATAATAATTCACACTCCAAACCACAAATCAAAAGGGTCGCCATAATAATAGCTTTGGTTAGGGCTAAAACAATGAAATCTAGGCATAATAGGTCTACGTCTAGTATTCAATGCTAACCTAGGTACCAATAAGGCCTTTTGTTCTATTTTTCTGAACCTAATTTACAGCTGTAAAGAATTCTATGGATTGTGGGTTTGGTCTAAGGTATAAGAGGAAGCGATTTGTTAAAATTGTTAAAAACTATTTTAATTTTGTTTAAATAAAAGTGGAGATAGTGCTTTTTTTCATTATCTTGATTACTAAGATAATATGCCTTTTATCCCCGAAGGAGTAGGCAGATGTGTACACAGAAGTAACACCCACTTTTCACTATTTATGTTATGAGTCCCATGTAATAGCGGGTGAGCCTATTGCCATATACCGGACACAATTCCAGCCTCTATGCTATTACTGATTTTTTTTTAAACCCAGTATTACTTTGCCCTACCCGGGAATCGAACTCGAGACCCCTTGCCCGGCAGTCGCACTTACGACCACTGGGCCATCGAGGCAGTTCACAGAAATATTAAACAATATTATAACACTAAGACAATCATAACATTTTACTTTTACTAAAAAGTAGTAGGCAGAATTAGCCATTAGAGCTTTAAAAATATCACGTACTTACTATTTACTACACACAAATAAATAGTACGCAAATCGCTATCACCTTATAACTTGTCCCACACTCTAAAGTTCCAATGTATAATACATGTGTGAGGATTGTCGTCGCCCTTTGTTTTACGGGTTTGAGTCCAGGTGTGCCCTGTGTGACGGATGTCCCAGTTTTAGGGATCCGTGACGTACGTGGTAACAGAATACTAAAATAAAAAAAAATGGAACGTTTCTGTGAATTTCATAGTCTTCTAAAACAAACCTTTTATAATATATTAGCAAAATTTTTAAAAATCTTTTTCTTTTTTGATGGGGGAATATCATTATCTTCTCCCGCCCGGGTGAGGCGAGAGGGAGTGTCAGACTCTTATTGACTAAAAACCACCCCGTTCCTACTCCTGCACTTAGAGCCGGAGCCCCGGCAACCCGTTAACTTCTTCGCGGCTTCGTATCGAGCATCTGCCCTATTGGGCCTCATCTGTGGTGGGCTGGTCCATTATTAGTCTATAGGAGTAACAGGAACTGGCTGACAGCCAAAAGTAATAAGTGATACAAAGTCTCAGCATCAATCTAGGTTCTAGATTATTGACAGAATCTCCATATGACTAAAACTAATGTTGAGGTACTAATTTCGCCACAGGGTGTAATACAATTATACACTGGGCAGCAATCATCATCATCATCAACAGGCATAACACGTCTACTTAGGGTTGCCAGATAGGAACTTATCAAATCTGGGACAGTTCTAAAAAAAAAACAATGTCGGGTCGTGGCCATAATAGAAAATGTCATATATTTTTTTTATTTTCAAAGGATTCATATTTATATTTAAAATATGAAATGCCATCGTTGCTAGTTTATTTTGTTAAAAAATAATAACTTTTCAAAATCCGGGACAATGAGCGCTTATTCCTGGACACGGGACAAGAAGCAAGATTCCGGGACAATCCCGGATTTCCCGGCGGTCTGGCAAGCCTACGTCTACTGCTGGATAAAGGCCTCCCCCTTAGTCCTCCACGTCGAACGACAACTCGCCACCCGCATCCACTGGCTCCCCGCAACTCTGGCGATGTCGTCGGTCCACCTAGCGGGAGGCCTGCCTACGCTCCGGCTTTCGGCAGCAGTATCACTACATAGTAGAGGTATAAAACAAAGTCGCTATCCGCCGCCTGTCGATCCCTATGTATGCTTAGATCTTTAAAACTACGCAACGAATTTTGATTTGGTTTTTTTTAAGGAAGGTTTATATGTATAATACATGCATATTGCACTGTGCGAAGCCGGGGCGGGTCGCTAGTTTTCTGATAAATCTAAAACATTTACATTGCAATTTCAATCTTCCTTCTGTAGACAAAGTGTCTTCTGGAATGTGAAGGGCTGTTGATGATTACTTATACAAGAATACATACGGAACCCAACGCTTTTAATGTGAAAATTGTAAAACAAAAGTCGTTCAGTTATTAAAAATGAATTTATTCTTCATACACGTATCCTGCCATTGTAGGGTTACTGCAGTCTACAGTTATAGTAAGCGATAAATATTAAATGAGGGGCCATAATTGCCACGGCATTAATAAAAAAATAATTTTATTAATAGCCGTTTAACATACTGATTAATTCCCTAATTACTTAAAACTAATGTTAATGTAATTAATCTTTATAATTATATATAATTCTTCTGTAAGTGTGTACGTCACTGAACTTCTCTCAAACGACTGGACCGATTTTGATGAATTTTTTTGTGTGTGTTCATGGGGATCTGGGAATGGTTTAGATTCACAAATCAGCCCGGCAGATGGCGCTGCAGTCGGTTTCTAGGTTATTTATCTATACCTATTATTACAGGACAACGTCTGTCGGGTCCGCTAGTCTCTATATATAAAAATTAATTTCCGTTCGTTAGTCTCGCTAAAACTTGAGAACGGCTGAACCGAATTAGCTATTTTTGGTTCTTTTTTTATGGCATAAGCCGGTAAACGAGCAGACGGATCACCTGATAGTAAGCAATCGGCGTCGCCCATAGACACCTGGGACACCAGAGGCGTTACAAGTGCGTTACCGGCCTTTTGGGGATTAGGAGTTTGAGGATTGTTGGGGATTCAGGAATTGGGAAGATTAGGGAAGGGGAGGGTAATTGGGACTCCGGTAACCTCACTCACACGACGAAACATAACGCAATGCAAGCGTTGCTTCACGTCGGTTTTCTGTGAGGCCGTGGTATCACTCCGGTCGAGCCGGCCCATTCCCACACTTACGTTCGTGAAAGTCCAGGGAAGGTTTAAAAGGTGAGAAAAACAATGTTAGGCGGTACGAAGTTTGTCAGGTCAGCTAGCGAATAATATCATTCTTTTACAAACTATGTATGTTTAAAAAAACCGACCTCAACCCCTTGTTTTTTTGAAGTTGGTTAATTAATTAATATAAAAAAACCTTCTCCTAAGTGTAGCAAATACTTTTCTGAAAACCACATCTAAATCGGTTCAGCCAATCGCGAGATAATCGCACACAAATATACTACTGGTCAAACTAAGAACCGCAAATCGGACCGGGTAATAATAACCAAGTTTAAAAAGGATTATAATAATTATCGTCGGATACGGAGAACATATATTTTTTGACTTTGCTAAACTGTAATAGGGGGTGAGCCTATTACCATATACCGGGCACATTTCCAGACACCGTGCTACTACTGAGATTTTTAAAAACCCAGTAACACTTTGCCGACCCGGGAATCGAATCCGAGACCCCTTGCCCGGCAGTCGCACTTGCAACCACTCCCCAACGATGCAGTCAACATTTAACCCAACAAATTAATAATGAGTAGCAGCATTCCACTCAATCTCAATCACTATCGAAACAAGGAAACAATTTCACAATTACCATAGACTTCTATCAACAAAAATATTTAAATTCCGCCCCATCCCGTGCCCCCGCCATTCATTGGACAATTTATTATCAAATTAATTACGCTCTCCCCCGCAAGATGGCGCCGTCAAGTACCGACTGGCCCGCGGCAGGTAAACAAATATATATTCAATTATAAAATGGTGAACAATTAGTTTTCGAGATTGCACCCGACAAAAACAATTTCACTGACAGACAGATACACAATTGAGTTATGAATTGGGCTATGCCCTATCTCTGTGAGGCTGTTTAATTATGGAATATCGAGGTTTGACAGTTTCGTGTTATTGTATTCTTGATTGGAGTTCAGAGTAATTGTTTTTGGCTATGACTGAAATTGTTTTTGATGTTTTTTTTTGAATAACGCAGCAATCATCATCTCTATTTTTGGTCGAAGAAATAAACTTATAAAAATCAAAAGATATTACCCCACGATAGATTTTTCTCCTGTATCGTGGGTGCGTTTACAAACATACCAGTTCACATCAAAAGGTGGTGTTATTACTGGCCATAGACAATTATTGTAAAGATGAGTTTAAAATCAAAGTGGTAAACAAAAGACCCCAAAGAGAGAAAATAAGTAAAAAATTTATAGTACCTACTACTGTTAACTATTATGGGCAAAGATGTAGAAAATGCTTAGTCCCAACAATATTTAATGATATTCCAGACTATTTGGAAAGTGAGTGTACTACAAAACTTTCCTTCAAAAACAAAATGGTGAAGTTCCTTCTCAACAAAGATTGTTAAGGTCTCCTTTCCTGTTTGGAGATATATAGATAAGTTTATGTCCTACTCAAACTACTTACCTGATAGAAAACTATTATGTGTGAATTAGAATGTCAAAGGTTCTTTTTTATAGTAATTTTATATAGTCGTATTATTTAAGGGAGCTACATCTGCCAACAAACTGTTTTGCAGTTTGGCAGAAGTAATATTGTATTTTTTTCC